CCCAACATAGGTAGATGCAAACTTTTATGATACAACAAATCTTCAATTTGCATTTTCCAAAACCCATAATCACTACCATCAAATTTGTCAATCTTTATCTTACTATCCTCTGCCATTTTACCAAACAAATTACCAAATTGCTACTAACAGGTTTGTACTGCTAAATGGAGATTATACTAGCGGAAGCAAAAAAAAAAAAATAGAGACACGAGATTTTTCTATTTCACTTGTTAAATAGCGACAGATTTGTAAAGAAAACAAATTTGTGATCACCTCCCCCCCAAAAAAGAACGATCGATCCAGGATTTTGCGTTTCCGGTGAATCGGCGGTTTGGTCACTTTGTCCAGGTGAGAACGAGGCTGAGATAGCCCTAGAATGGCTGTTGAGGTGTGTTGTTGGCTGGTTGAGAGATCCCTAGTGAGAGACGGTTGGCTCAGATGGAGCTGGTGTTCATGGCGACCAAACCCAATCGTGATTTCTTCCAACATGTAAGCTCCTTCACCTTCTCTATTCATATTTGTCAATCGAGAGCCAAAGCTTTGATACCAGTTGTTATGGTCAAACAGTTAACATACGAACATAACTCTCCTTAAGTTGTAACAAAGAAGAACTCAAGAATTTAAGGTGGTTTAGTCTCGCGACCTACATCCACTCACAGGTAACTAGGAGTTTTATTTCTTTTGTGTCTCACACTTACAAAATACAGAGTAGTCTCGTATATATAGAGATTGAAGATGATAACCGATCAAAGAACAAAAAAGAAAGAAAGGGAACCATAAAGCATGTCATCAATACGCTTGTTCACCAAACACAAAAACAGATATGACCCTTAAATTTTTGGCTTCCTATTCTCTGACACTATCTTTATTCTTGACCAGCCCAATAAATGGCTTCACACACAAGTCTTTTCTTTGTAAGTGCATTGTTCATATCTTTCACTTGTTCACCTCCATTATTGAGCACCAACGTAAAAGGCCAGACACCCACCTTCACATGGTTTAGATTTGATTCCTACTTAATTATAAACTCTGGTTGTTTTTGTTTTTGTTTTTCTGGCCTCCTCTCTGAAATCGGTTACAAAGGCAAATAAATGGAAGTTATCAATCTATATCTTGGAAAGCCTCTTTGCAAAAGCCTTCTCATTATCGATTCCCAAGAAGCGCACAAATCCAAACTTCTTTTCCTAATTTAGATTGTTTCGTAGTGATATAGGCATCAACGATTTTAACCTGTCCTTCACACAATTTCCACAAAGACTTCACATCAAAGTAACTAGGAAAATTGGTGATATATAATGAAGAAGCCACTCGATCAAGATCTTTTCCATACGAATTGGATGCTGACTTACTAGTATCGCCCTTGTGCCACCCATTATTGTCACCCTCCTGATTGCGATTTTTCAAATAACTATTTCGATATATCCATGAACAACCTTCTTCATCACTTATGTTTGAATATCTAACATCCATAGTGCAGTGGTACCGTCTTCGATCACATCTCCCCCACCCTCCTCCTTCCCCCACCATATCAAAAGTGGAACTTGTTGGGTTAATCTTGATGGTTCGGGTAGAGTACGAGTCAAGTTGGTTATGGGTTTGGTTCAATCCAGGTTCTTTATGCACAAGTTTAATAATGAAGACTTAGTCTAAAGAAGACCTGGTTTGGTGGGTTTAATAACGTGGACTTAGTAGTCCTACCTTTGAGGTTTCTTAGCTGATAGTTCTCCTTCTTCTTAGCATGTTAAATAGTATAAGAAGAGTAGAATTTATCTCCCAGTTGAATGTATATGTATCAGGATGTAGCTTTTCTCTTCCACAATGTAGACTCGTATGTATTTTTTTGTTTTCTATGAATGAGTAATATAGAGAAAATTGGTGTGTGCATGGGTGTTTTCTTGGGCCTACTCAACCGTCAATGCCGGAAGTCATAAAGTCAAAGTTTCGCTGGTCAAGGTTTTTTTCTCACCTGAATGCCTTATTTGAATAATTAAGTTGAGGAGCTATTGTCTCCTTTCGTCAACGTTTGTAGCACATATGTGAAAGGGAAAAGAGGTAAAGCTAGTAATAGAGTTCAGAAATCCCTCCCTCCCTCCCTCCCTCCCTACCTACCTACCTACCTACCTACCTAACTCACAAATCCTAGCACTTTTTTATCACAAAATTAGATTTGTGGAAGTAGGAATTAGAGCTTGAGGTGTGAAGCGAAGTTATATAGCACGTCAAAGGATGGGTTGTGCACATCACTGTTTAAAGTTTAAAGTACTATGTTTTATCATATGCCATTCTATACCTTGGTTTACTCGAGAAGTGAAGAACATGAAATCATTTACGAGAACCGAGAAACTTTGAAATGAGAATGGTTATTCGTAAAGTTTTCAAAATGTGACTTATGGTTGTGAGAAGTCCAATTTTTAGGTCATGGAGTAAATCCAGATGAAGTTAATGTAGTTTCATTGAAGATAGAAGCCATCATGAAATTTGATACCATCAAAAACTCAATCGAGGTATATGGTTTCCATGGTCCCGATTCCATTGTAGTCGGCATCTGTGAATCCTTCAACGACATGATGACCGTAATTGTGATATATGATACCATGATTAGGAGCATCGTTTCTGTACTTCAGAATATGGCTAACCACATCCCAATGAGAGGTTCATGGAAATGACATAAATTGACTTACAACACTTATCGAAAAAGCAAGGTACGAACGTGTAATTGCCAGGTAGTTAAGTTTTCCCACAATTCTTCTATATTTATCTAGGTTTTCAAGTGGATCTTCATCTTTTACTTTCAATTTCACATTTGGAATCATTGGGGGCTCATAAGATTTTGTTTCAATCATCCCAGAATCATTTAAAATATCCAAGCAATATTTCCCTAAAGACAAACATATCCCTTTCAGTATGAGAGTAATTCCCATAAAGTATTTTAGAGTACCTAATTCCTTTATTTGAAACCAAGATGCAAGGAAACCTTTCAGCTTCTTGATCCTAATTCCATCACTCATAGTAATCACAATGTCATTAACATACCCACTAATAGAATGCATCCGAAAGACGATGAACATAGAATGATCATAAGAGCTTCTTTGTAAGCCCAACATGTGTCACCACAACAATAAAACATCTAAACCAAACCAGAAGGGATTGCTTTAAACCATATAGTGATTTACACAATTTACAAACTCTACCAAGTACCAAACCAGAAGGGATTGCAACAAAACATGATGGTTGCCCCATATAAACTTCCTTTTGTAAACGACCATGCAAGTAGGCATTCTTTAATCCATGTGGTGAAGAGCACAACCATAAGTAGTAGTTAATGAAATAATCAACCTGGATGATACCTTACGTCTACCCGCTAAGTCTATGCATATCCTTTAGACACCGATTATGCCTTCAGACGAGTTACATATTTGTTTGGATTAAATTTCATAGTAAAGACGACAATATTCAAGGAAAATACACTCGAGGGACTTTGGATCTAGTTTGCTGATCCGAGGCCGATAATCAGGGCCGGTCCAAGACAATTTGAGGCCTAGGGCAAAAACAAAAAATGAGGCCCTTCAAAATTAAATAATCTCAAACGATAATACAACCATGTTTATGAGTAAATAGGCACTTCTTATTAAATTATATATATATATATATATATATATATATATATATATATATATATATATATATATATATATATATATATATATATATATATATATATATATATATATATATATAGTGAAAAAAATTCGAGTTTGTTTAAAGGATGTCACTTAAAAAAACCAATGACAAAACGAAATTAAAAAATCGAACAAAGAAACCATTATGAAAAACCGCCTAATTGTTTTTTTTAAGAAAAACAAAAAGATGTGATTAAAAAAAGACAAAAAAAACCTTATATTAGTAAAACTGTAAAATGAAAATTAAACATGAAGATATCCCGTCTAACCGGTAGGTTACCATGATTTTTGTTCATAAATGTATAAAAATTAGTTATTATAACGTGCAAGATAAAATAAAAAAAGGACCACTTCTATAATTTGGATTATTAGAATAAAAAAGGACCACTTATATAATTTAGATTATTTGTGTATAACAAAGAAGAATATAGGGGCCATTTTAGCATTTTGAATTCCAATTCAATAAACCGGCATATGATTCTAAATGGAAAGTAATAAAAGAAAAAGAGGTCGAACAAAGAAGAAGTTTCGAACCTGCATCTTTAAATAGAGTAATGCGCTTAGAGCAATGCCTGTAACCAACTCAACTACAGACTCTTTGTTAATTATATTAACAAAACCTATATATATATATATATATATATATATATATATATATATATATATATATATATATATATATATATATATAGAGTAGAATTAATTTTGGGGCCCCAAATCTTAATGAGGCCCGAGGCGATCGCCCAGTTTGCCCACCCTATTGAGCCGGCCCTGCCGATAATCCCGAACAAAACAACTACAACCAAATATATTTGGTTCAACAAGGAACTAGTGTTTATTTGGAAACATAACAAAAAATGGAATATCACCACCAAAAATAGTAGATGGTATATGATTGAGGAGAAAACAAGAAATAAAGACTCTATCAACCTAAAATGTTTTTAGAGAATGGTCATCTGAAATAACAATGATCGAGCTTACTTCTGGAAGTAGATGATTTTTTTCGTTCAACAACTTCATTTTGCGCATGTATGATGATTTTTTCGTTCAACAGCTTCATTTTGTGCATGTATGACTGAAAGGCTCCTACGAATATTTTATTGCATTATCTGTATGGAAAGTTTTCTACACTAAATTGTATTTTAATCTCAACAACAAATGACCAAAAAAGGGTGAAATACATTTGAGTAATTTTTCATCAAATATAACCAAGTAACATAGGAATAATCATCCACAATAGTCACACAATACTTGAACCCGGTTTTAGAAGTAACAGGACAAGCACCGCATACATCCGAGTGAACCAATTCAAATGGGGATGCAACTTGTTTATTAGCTCTAAGGCTCAAATGAACATGCTGATGATTAGCAAACTGACTTGGCTCACTATTTAGGGAGGACAAATGACTAAATTGTAAAGATTGGAATATGTAAACACGATTGTTTTAATCAAAATAACTCTTTGATTATATGAGAAACTCTCTCAAAACTCACGATATTACAATGTTTTCCAATGATCATGGCTCGACCTAAAACAATGTATATATAATCCTAACTACCGACTTGTAATTAGATTACAATTAGGAAACTAGAAACCTACTTGTTTATGATTTCCTAAAAACTAGGTTGCTATTACTTGGTCTCCAAGTCCTACTCGACTTAGGATTCCAACAATCACCCCCGAATCTCTAAGTCCTTCGAGAGAATTCTTCAACCCCGATCCGTATTTAGAACACGGATTCGTCGCTGTCGTCACATTCCGAAAAATCACCGACTTGTAATTTTTGGAGTCGTTTCGGACATTCAGAAGCAAAATGACCCGGTTTGTCACACCGAAAACAAATCACCTTAGATCGATCCTTTTCCCTATTTTTCCGATTCTTACCACAACAACAATTACAATTTTTGCAATCAGAATTAGAATTGAATAGTTTATTGGGCCGATTGCTTTAAGAAACCCTATTATTCCCTTTACGCCCGCCTGATCCGCCCGGCCCGGATAACCCACTAGATCCGGATCCACTTGACCCACCAATCCCATTAAACCCATTCACTTCACTCGTTCCTTTCCACTTTCCATTTTCCTTTGTTCCCGACGAGTTACCTCCATCATCGGCAAACAGGACTTTCGATTCTTCTCCACCGTCATCCGCTTCCTTCACCCTCTCCTCGTAAGCTTTCAACCGCCCAACCACATCTTCGAAGCCCGTCTTCAAATCAAGAACTTGCTCAAGGGAGGCCACGATGTGGATGAATTTTCTTGGCAGTGATTTCAGGAACTTTTTCACCATTTTTGTTTCTTCAATTGTTTCCCCAAGGGTTGCCGATTGTGACGAAATTCCGGATAGTTTTCCGGCGAAGCTATCAACTGATTCCGTCTCTGTCATCCTCAGCCTGTCGAAGTCAGCGTTTAGGGTTTGAAGACGGGCCTCCTTTACTCGATCAGCCCTAATGTATCGAGCCTTGATTGCGTCCCAAAGCGCCTTCGAAGACTTGACTTCTCCGATTTGCATGATTAACGATTATGGGATAGCCTGACACAATAATCCCATTGCTAGGTAATCCTTCTCATCGTTTTTCTCTGTTCCTGGGTCGATAATACTCCATGCTTTATGAATTTTTAGAACAACCTTCATACGCAGGGACCAAACTGTGTAATTTGTGGAATTGAGCATGGGACATTGAACTGAAGTCGATCCAGTTTCCTTCATAGTCACCAGAGCAGATCCTCCCTCGCCCCTGCATCAGCCATGTTGACCTGAATCGTCAACAGGTAAAATTGATCTCACAGCTTCTTGTTTCTTAGCTCTGATACCAATTAAAGATTGGAATATGTAAACACGATTGTTTTAATCAAAATAACTCTTTGATTATATGATAAACTCTCTCAAAACTCACGATATTACAATGTTTTCCAATGATCATGGCTCGACTTAAAACAATGTATATATAATCCTAACTACCGACTTGTAATTAGATTACAATTAGGAAATCATAAACAAGTAGGTTTCTATTACTTGATCTCCAAGTCCTACTCGACTTAGGATTCCAACAAATTGGGGATATAGTTTCTTTAAACTTTGAGGAGATGAGTGACCTAGACGACAATGCAATTTAAATGAAGTTAATGACATCAATCATCTTAGGATTTCGGTACCCTGGGTTCAAATAAATAAAGGCCACCATACTCTTGTCCTCTACCAATTATTTTCTTTGCGGAAGATATCGAAAAACACAAGATCAGGAAAAACGTGACACTACAATTCAATCCACGAGAAATTTTACTGACCGATAGCAAATTAAATGAGAAATTAGAAAAGGCTTAACATAGAAAGTAATGAAATAGATGGGGCAAGATCAACAGTGTGAGATCCTAGAACTCAAGGGGTAGACCCATCAAAAATGATAATGTGGGATGTAGATGTATGAGTATGGATACCTATCATGTGATCCTGTCACATCATGTGACCTGAAGCATTGAATTGATGACTCAAGAAAAAAAAAAAAAACTGTTCGCAACTCAAAAAATTCTCCAGCCCTAAACCTAGGTACTCTCATACCATGTAAACTAGAAAGAGACTGAAGGTGAAAATACCTTATTGATTGTTCATCTTTACAAGGAGAATGTACAAGACTATATACATAGAGGTCGGAATGCTAATCATAGGAAACCCTATAGGACCATGGGCTAAGTGGGCCAAAGATAATACGCACAATATTTACATTCTAACAAGTTGATACAAGGAAAAGAGGGTGTTAATTAGAATACCTGTTGAAGAAGTTCGCGTTGTGTCAATGCTTCTTGCAGTTCTCGCTTATGTTTCTTCTTGAGTACCCTCATCTCTTCTTCGAGCTGACTAGCATGACAATTATGAGTATCAGCTTCCTCTTTTAGAACCAAGTACTCCTGCCTGCTTTCCGATGCTCTTTGTCTTTCTTTCTCAAGAGACTTAGTTAGTTGTGTTTGCTCAGATCTCAAACATGATATCTGCAACACATTATGATTATAATAAGCTGCCAACTCTTTCATGGCTCAATCATATCAACCAAAGCACCTGAGCTTCAAGAACATTTATTCTAGATAATGTTTGGGATAATCGTTCATTAACAGCTCGGTTTTTTTCCTCTAAGGATGTAGCTTTAGCCTCTGCATCCTGCAAGATTAGCTATCAGGGAAGTCTATGGAATAAAGAATTATTAATACCCTAAAAATCAAAACGATATATATATGCTATTTATGGGACCTGAAGCCGAATGTTTAGTGATCTCTCCACAGCAGCCCAGGCTTCTACTTTTCTAGAAGTTGTTTCCTATTACCAATAGAAGGTCAGTGAAAAAACAATGAAGCTAAAGGCATAATTAATGTAGGAAAACAAAAGAAACCTGCATAGCTTCAATTTGCCTCAAAAGAGGCCTGGTTGATTCAGGAACTTGCATAACCAGCACTTCACATCTATGCTCACTTGCCTGATAAGAAATAAAGCATAGAGGACTAGTTATCTAACAAAAAGAAGGAACAAAATGTGTAATTAGTGCCTTATTTATAGAAACAAAAACTGTGAACACATACTTTATATCGTTTTTGGAGGTCATCAATTTCTCTCCTTAGCATATCTTCTCTGTAAATTTCCTGCAACGAGAAAATATATTACTTTAGAAAACTTTAGAGCATCAATAAAAGGAGCTTTTTGGTCAAATAAGCTTAGGCTAAGTCAAATCTCCTATTGGAGAGCTATCTTAAACCCCAAATTGTTCACACAGGTTTCTGCAGTTTCAAGATCAAACATAGGAGGTTTTTCATTGTTTTTTCTGTCTTTTATTCTTCTTGGTTTATTAATTACATGTAAAAATTGGTCTTTTGTTTAATTTAATGTAAACTAGTATATATTATATTTAAACTTACATAAACTTGTACTATAAAAGCCTCCTATTAATGTGGACCAAATCAACTGAAGTATTTCAAGCAAAAACCTGTTGCTCCTTTCTGCTCAGAGTTTGTCTTAATTCTTCCAGAGTTTGAATTAGCATAGATTCTCGTTCCCTGGCCTCCTTTAGGTCAATCTCTAGTTCAGTTCTAGCTTCATCATTTACTCGTGCCTCTGCTACTGCTTTTGCTTCCTTGGCTACACTTAATGCATTCAGATAGTATTCCTTTTGTATTGCAACTTCAGACTGGTTTTTCTCTATTGTTTCTTGCAGCAGTTTCTCTGTGGCTGCTTTCTTACTCTTCAAATTTTCCACTTTGTTCTCTTCAGCCTGAAAGTTATTGAAAAAGTTAAATAAATTTAATGATGAGAGAAGAAATGATAAAAATATGACAGGACATTGAAACAAGAAAGAAGAAGAAAATTCGGGTATGTTGAACTATCTGTTATTCATCTTATACTCTACTTGTGATCCTTGTCAATGGTAAAAGTAACCTAACACTGTTCTGAAATGCTAGCTATTATCATTTAAAGAGCTTCATAATGTATATAATTTTCAAATCATGATATGTCAAAAACTCAAGACAAGAAACTTTGCTATGTCGTCACTTTATTGTCATATTTTCATGTACAATCCAAAAAAATCGGAATTTTTTGTTCTATTTATAGTTTATTTTCATATATGAAAAAAATAGTTAAATTTTTTTTGCAACTAATAAATAGTTTTTTGTTTTTGTTATCTTTAATAGAACAAAATCTAATAACAGATAATAATTTTTTTAATAGAATAATGTTGGGTTGCAGATGAAGCATAAAGAATTTAAAAAGATAAGTTGGTATTTGAATGAGGGGGAAAGTAGATTTTTGATAGTTCAATGGGATGAAAAGAAAGGTGGTGGCCCAAAATAATAGAACCAAAACCACAAACATTTGTTAGATGTAATTCATCCACACTCATCGCCTGTATGTAAAATATTTTGTGGAATAAAAATATAGTCGCAAGGTAGAGAAGTAATTACCTGTAGTTTGCTTATAAATCCTTTCTTCTCATCTTCAAACTCTCTAATCTAGGGATCTCGCAAAACAATGTTCAAATAATAAGAGAATGTACAGCTGAATATTTATAGGGTCCAAAGGAAAGATAGTATATGACATAACATACCTGTGCGCGTAGTTTCCTTATTGTAGACTCTTGAACAGCTTGTTTCTTTGAAAGCTTTTCACCTATATGAATGAAAAAGGAATACCATCATCATCATCTGTAGTATAGAAAATGTGGTCTTTGAAAGCTTCATCTAGAACTTGGGAAACCTCTTTTCTAGCAGTTAGCTATTTCATTACCCTCTTCCATAACTTGAGTGATTATGTCATCCTTTTCCTTTAGAAGCGCAGTGGCATCACTTCTTTTATTTTGCTCTCTACGTAGTGTATCCCTTTCTCTTGTAAGAGCGTAAACCTGAGTCATTGAAGCTGAGTTAATATATAGCAACTAAACATCAGAAATATTAGTTATATGGACCATGACAGAAGTCAGAACAACCTACATAATCAAAAGTAAAATATCCCTTCGCAGAAATTGGGCTAGCCCATTTTACTCAATATTTATGGTTAAGTGCTACAAGTTGAGAGTTCATGTAAGTATATGTAATAATTGAGAATTATACTATAGTTAGATGACGTATATGGACTTACACTAAAGATCATGTAAGTATATGAGCAAGTTTCCTTTGAAGGATGTCCTTATTGTACCAAATATCAAGAAAAATTGCTATCTGTTAGCAAACTTACTAACGATTACTGGGTTATTTCAAGCACAAGAGGCCACTGTTATTTCTTCTTCCATGGCTTCTTTTGAATTATGGAATAAACCTCTTGGACATGTTAACTTTGATGTTTTGTCTCTTTTAAATAAAAATGGGTGTTTACGTCTTACATCTATTTTACCTAGACCGCACATTTGTTCATCTTGTGAGCTTTAAAAACAACATCGTTTGATTAGAAATATATTAAGGGTAAACTAGAAAGATATTAAGGGTGAAAATACCTTATTGATTGTGTACATTACAAGGAGCCAATACAAGACTATATATAGAGGTAAGATGATCCCTACTAGGGATGAAATTGGTACGGTACCAACTTGTTTTTTCTTAAACTGTATACCGTGTCAACTATAATTGGTATAAAAAATTTAATAACATTATTGTACCAAGTATACTTGGTACCAATATATTTGGCTACTAACAAGTTTAGTTGATACAATACCGATTTTTTTTAATTTTCTATTGTTGCACTTTAAAATAATAAATGCATCGGGTAATTTTGACGTTTACTAAAGATAGTAGGTATGCATTTCTTTTACTTCACAAAAGAATTATATTGAAGTAACGCTACAAAAACGTTTTAATTTTATGATTTAACGTGGTAATAATTATTGACGAATACAAGCAAATAACTTATATAATGTTCTTAAAATTGTAAGCACTAAATACAATTAACGATTGAAACATACAATTTTCTTGGTTGGATTGGTAGCATGTTGGTTGGTTATTGTGGTATAATTTTAACAGCCCTAATCCTTAGTCATAGGAAACCCTAGGAGGCCATGGGCCAACTAGGCCAAAACTAATATATACAATATTGACATTCTAATAGAGCCCAAAATCAATTTTTTTGGGCCGAACAACCCATGTTTTGTGCAGTCGACGCGCATGCACCTTTGTCGACATCCTCAATGGTTGTAGCACATATCCTGTTTCGTTGCATTTTGTCGTGAGGCATACTTTTCTTTTTTCATAAATTTGCCGAGGAGCTCTAACGAGCTTTCTCTTTTCAAACAAAATAAGAAAAAGTCAAATTGACTTTGACCATATAGAATATAGAATACGGGAGTTAGTGATTTTGTTTGAGTTTCCTCTTGTTTTCTCTATATTTGGGTATACATATGTACACGCTACACACACAAGAACCAATAAAGTGAAGGCAATATTTGGCTATTCTTTATTAATATTTCTTTTTAACTCCTACATACTTGTTATAATCACGTCCCCGCATTACAGAAAATATATTATATCTTTATTCTAAATAATATTAAAAAATAATAATATTAATATTCTTGTTGATCTTCTTACTATTGTTTACTATATATTTATACTACTATTATCCATAGTAACGTTAATAACCAAAAGATATGGTATTAACAATATAATAATAATCATCATTATTACTGTTAATAATAATTGTAATTATTGTTATTGTCAATAAATATAATCAAACTATCTATAGTTCGATAGTAATAATAATAATGGTAATAACATAATTGAAATTATTTATATAATATTTTGTTTCATTAAATACATTATTATAATCAGTAATGTTAATGATAATAAGCTACTGTATTATTAATAAAATGATATTATTATTATTATTATTATTATTATTAAAATTGTAACTATATTGTTATTATTGTTGTTGTTGCCATTGATATTGCAATAATTATATTATTACGGTATTACCCCTACTAGTCTACTACTAATTAGTAATTAGGATTCTACCAGGCCTCTTTTGAGACAGATTCCTGAAAGAAGATAAGGAACTGACATGCTATGTGATTTGCTAAACATTACCACGTCTGTCATAAAAATTAGTATGAATTTAAGCTTGTGGTGCATAATATGAACAACTACTTCCTAAACATATCCCCCCTCCCCAGATGTCTATTTGTAACAGATACAGAAATTGCTACGATTGCAAGAAAATAGAGGGTTCCATTGATAGGCTTCTTTATGGAGGCAGTGGGTGAAATTAAACTGAGGAGGGTTATTATTATTATTATTAGATATTCTTATTATTAATATTATTATCATTTTCAAAAGTAAAATGAAATTAAATTAGTAATGTTGACCGTGAGACTGGTTGGTGGGGCCGGTCATGGGTCGTGTTTACCCTAAACCTAATTTGACAAATTTGTGCCACATCACTAGGTCTTTATTGGTCAAGTTGTGTAAAATTTCCACAAAAATGTAACTTAAAATCTAAGTTGTTAGATTTTAACAGTACAAAAAAAGAGACTAAAGTCAGCATTTAGAATAGTATTAATGCTTAGCCAATTTAAAAGCAAAAAACTATAAAACCTTCTACTGTTCAATGTTAGACTATGTAGTTACATTTATAATAAGTATAGGGTATTCAAATGTAAATATTAAACTCTTTATATAGAGTTCCTATGTAATCGTTTCTAATAATCAATAATACACGGTCTGATTTGGAATCGGAGCGAGGAAACCTCTTGCCGCCTCTAACTCTAATTTGGTCGATCATCCAAATCAGCCTATCTTTCTCTACTCTTTCTAATCAGTAATCAATATAGCTACATGGCTACAATTGTCGCCTCACTGCTGCAGAGAAAACAGCCCCTAACACCCACAAATTCACTTTCACTAGTCTCTCACCTACTATGGTTTCTGGAAAGCGATGCTTGAACCATTCTTAACTACCAACCATCTGATTGGTTATGTAGACGACACCATTCAACGCCCTGAACCGAAAATTACAACAAAGACTGCAGTAACTGATAACCCCAATTATTCTCATTAGATTGCCAACGATGCTCATGTTCGCATGCTGATCCTATCGACCATCTCTGAGGCATCTTTTCAACATGTTCAAGGTACGACTTTTAGAGACCTTTGGCTTTCGTTTCGTTAGAATGTGCCTATGCTCCGGATACTACCTCCCGTGAATACACATTAAAAACACAATTGCTGAGAATAGAGATGAAAGGAGACGAAACTCCGCTTAACTATCTTAGTCGTGCAATGGAATATACATCGGCTCTAGCCAATATTGGCGAATCTATGAAGGACAAGGACCTAGTTATGCTTACCATCTCTGGCTTGCACGATGAGTATAATGGCTTGAAATCAAACTTACTAGCTCGTCAACCACTATTACTTTCAATGATCCGTACGATCTCTTGTCTGCTCATGATTACATGATCAACAAATCAACCTCCTTACCTACTACCACATCACCACAAGTATTCGCTGCTACAACCGAAGGTACTCCTACTAACTCCTTACCTGATCTTGATGCTATTCAGTCCTAAGTTAACAATTTGCAGTTGTTAGCCTCTCAACCAAGGTATCAACTAAACCCTGTTGACTCACAAAACACACAACCACAAGCTGACTATGCCTCTCGGTCATTCAATAATTGAGGTAACCAAAACGGTCGAGGTGACTTTCATGGACACTCACGAGGTAACCAGAACAATCGAGGCTGTGAAAACAACCTTAATACTCAACAGTTTCAATGGGGCTTCAACTCAGAACACAATGTACAGTCACTACAACCGTTGTGGTATAGGACATCTACCATCTTAGTGTCCAAATCAGCCTAACAAATCCAACACTCAAGCTAATGTTGCCACTTATTCAGGTTCCACATCAGCAACAACATGGTTCCCTGAAACCGGTGCAAATAATCATGATACTCCTGACTTATCAAATCTTGACAACTTCAAAGCTTATCATGGTAATGACTCACTCTCTGTTTTGGTGACAGTAACCCTCTTCCTATCCTTCTCCTTGGTTCTTCAAAATTCTTTTCTCCTAAGAAAAATCTTAATCTTACAAATATTCTTCATGTTCCACAACTTCAAAATAATCTTTTTATCTGTTGAATAGTTTTGTCGTGACAATGACGTTTATTTTGAATTTCACACAATATCCTCCTTTTGGGTCCAAGTGATAACGGGCTCTACTCACTTCGTCTTCCTCAACTCAAGTCTATTCCCAAGCTTGCCTTCACAGCCACAAAAGCTTCATCTGTCATCTGGCATCAACGTCTCGGCCATCCACACGAACGTGTTTTAATTCTATTATTTCTAGTTACTCTTTACCAATTTCTACAAAACTTTGTTCTACTTTACGTACTTCATATCAGTTGAGCAAGTCTTCTAAACTTTCATTGCATAACTCTACTTTTCATAGTAATAAAATCTTGGATTTAGTATATTGTGATGTTTGGGGTCCTTCCCCTACAATTTCTTTAAATGGTCATTGATTTTTTCTTTCATGTGTTGATCATTACACTCCACATGTGGTTTTACCCACTTGCACATAAGTCTGATGTTTACTCTATTTTTACAAATTTCACTACCATGGTTGAACGACAATTCAATACCAAACTCAAAAGTGTATAAACCGATTGGGGAGGGGAATTTCGCCCTCTTACTTCTTTCTTCACAAACCTTGGCATTATTCACTGACACTCTTTTCCCACCACCAGTGAACAAAATGGAATTGTTAAGCGTCATCATCATCATGTTTTGGAAACTGGACTTGCTCTTCTTGCCCAATCTTATCTTCCTCAACGTTTTTGGCACTTTGATTTTGAAACCACCGTTTATCTCATAAATTGTCTTCCTTCTAAAATCTCATCAAACAAATCTCCCTTTCAACTTGTCTATAACCACAAACCAGACTATTCTCTTCTTCGTGTTTTCGGTTGCCAATGTTTTCCTTATCTTCAACCTTATAACCATCATAAGATTGATTTTCGCTCCATACCTTGTGTTTTTCTTGGCTATATCCCTATCCACCATAGTTATCGCTGCTTTGATCCTACAATCGAACAGATATACATAGCACGCCATGTCCGGTTCAAGAAACATGTCTTTCCTTTTCATGCTTCACCGCCACAACTAACCAACCCTTCTCAAAACCCTTATACATCTATCTTTCCTACACCACCCCCAATTGAGGTAGGTCATTGATCCCATTTTCACAAATCACTCCACCTCTACCAACATTACCTCACATGCATCTTTGTCTTACTCATATCCTCCGCCCTCACATCCTCCTCCTCGACCTCGACCTCCTAATCTTCATCAAAATCCCACTCGCACCTCCCGCTTTGATCCTTCTGCTTAAATTTCAACTCATTCCACTTCCTCTAAAAATGAACCCAATTCATTTACCGTTGCCAATAAATCTCCAGAGTGGCATTTTTCCATGGATGAGGAGTTTCAAGCGCTTCAAAAGAATGCCATGTGGTCTTTGGTTCCTTGTGTTAAAAATACTGATCTTATTGATTGTAAGTGGGTGTACATGTTAAAGAAGGATTCATTGGGCAATGTTACTCGTCATAAAGCACACCTAGTCGCCAAATGATTTAATCAACAACCGGGTGTTGACTATCATGAAATGTTCAGTCATGTGATAAAATCAACCACCGTTCAGATAATTTTGTGTCTTGTGGCTTATAGTTGGGTTTTACGACAATTGGATGTGAAAAACATAGTTTTTACATGGTGACTTACAAGAAACTGTCTGCATGAGACAGCCTCGTGGCTTCATTGACTCAACCAAATCGAATCATGTTTGTCTTCTTCACAAATCTCTCTATGGGCTCAAGCAAGCTAAACGAGCGTGGTTTAACCGATTGTCAACAACCCTAACTCAACTTGGTTTTTTAGGATCCAAAATCGATCCTTCGCTTTTCATTCTCAACTTTGGTGGATCTATCGTTTATGTTCTAGTTATGTGGATGATATTATTATTACTGGTGACAACCCAACAGCCAATGATCACATAATACATCGCCTCAGCTCCACATTTGCCATTAAAGATCTGGGTCCACTTCACTATTTTTTGGGTATTGAGGTTGTTCCTGACAAGAAGAATATTGTGTTATCTCAACAAAAATATGTACTCGAAATACTTCAACGGTCTGGCCTCTCTGATTGCAAATCAACCTGCTCTCCGATAAGTCCCTCTCAGCTCTTACTTACTGATGATAGCCCACCTCTTTTAGATCCAACAATGTATCGCCAAACTGTTGGCACTTTGCAGTATGCTACTTTATGACGCCCAGATATTGCTTTTGCTGTGAATCGAGTTTGTCAGTTCATGCATGCACCAACAGAAAACCACTGGTCTGCTGTTAAACGTATTTTACGTTACTTCAAAGGCACAACCAATCTCGGTCTCTTGATTCGTCATCAATCCGGTAAACAGCTACAGGCCTTCACAGATGCTCTTTGGCAAGATTTTGTGTCCTCACCAGTTCAGGCTTACTCTGACTCTGATTGGGTTGGTTGTCCAATAGACAAACGATCCACAGGGGGGTTTGCCATCTATTTGGGATCTAATCTTGTCTTCTGGATTGCTCGTATACAAAAAGACAATTTCAAGGTCTTCAACTGAATCTGCGTGCAAAGCCCTTGCTGATACCGTTGCGGAACTAATTTGGTTAAAATCTCTCTTGTGTGAACTTGGCATATCGATTCCATCTCCCCCTACTCTTTGGTGTGACAATATAGAAGCCACATATCTATCAACCTATGTTCCATGCTCGTACTAAACATGTCGAAGTAGATTTCCACTTTGTTCATGAACAGGTAGCAAGAGGTCAACTACATTTCAAGTTCATATCTACAAATGATCACATCACAGATGTCTTTACAAAGCCTTTATCTACTTAGAGATTTCAGTTTTTACGATCCAAGTTGCAGGTTGTTCCCCGCCCTCAACTTGCAAGGGAATGTTAGACTATGTGGTTACATTTATAATAAGTATAGGGTATTCAAATGTAAATATTAAATTCTTTATATAGAGTTCCTATGTAATCGTTTCTAGTAATCAATAATACACGGTTTGATTTTCTACCAATACTTTCATATAGTATTTCTAATAATGGAAGTCTTAAGATTAAACAAGATATAGAAAAATGCAAAGAGTTTACCTTTCGTTCAAGATTCGAGACCCTTTGATGACACTCTTCTTGTAGAGACTCCATTCCAGCCTCATTTGAGTTTCTCTGTATACCAATGTGAGAGTCAGAATATAAGAAAAGAGAGCCAAATTACAAAAGGGAAGTGAGACTAATTAAATTTCAGGCAGCAGATGCATCAAGGTAGGACATTACAGTTTGTTTATTCTAGGCACATGCTTTTCACAATCTTCCCACATTGTTTAAGTCTCTTTTAGTGCCCCTTTTAAGATAATAACATAATCAATTATTGGAAACGCCGTGTTTCTGATGACATGCATAAACATGTACATACCTTCTGATCCTCGATTATAAATTTCAGCTGCTCATTTTCATTCATCAGCTTCGAAATTTCATCAGCTTTTGCCTGTAACAGGTAACTATAATGATTGGGTACAATTAAACATATGAACAATTATTAAGAATTTGAAATAGAGTAGAGTACCCTACATATAGTTTAGCCAATTAAGAATATGTAAATATAGATGACAACATAAAAAGTTTGAAAATATTAAATCAACATAAATCAATTTCCAATATATATATCACGTGTGGACAACCATTTATATACCTGAGCTTGTCTAGCAGCTCCCAGAAGTGCATCCTCCATCTTCTTCATCTCACTTTTCAATGTCTCCACTTCAACCATGGAATCTGCATTGTCACACAATCTGCTTCCCGAAATTGTGTGAAGTTCTTTTTCATCTCTCTCATCATCACCAACAAGCTGATTCACTGTATTAACTTTAGCATTTTCATTGTTATCTTTAGGAACTACTTCTGGAATCTTCTTAAAAGCATTTTCTGGTAATAAATGTGGTTGACCTTTTTGGACAGTTTTAATCATTTCATGTCTCTCTGACTCTATTGCAGATTGGCCATCATATGTTGCATCCACCCCCTCATCTAAAGCATCTTCTTGAGTAGTCACTGTGTTTTGTACGTTTAGTTCATGGTCACTCTTCTGCAAATCAGGTGAAGTGGTTGAAACTTGGTCTACAGAATTTGTTAACTGATCTTCTATTGATCCAGGTTTTTTTGTTGAACCAATTTCTGAGCTTTCACTATCTTGAACATGCTCCAAAGACTCTGATTGATCCTCAGCATCATCGGCACTTGGTTTTGCTTCTGCTTCAATGTGATTGTCAGCAATGGAAGATGCTGCAGTGTCAATTTCTATATGTTTTTTAGCAATGTTTTCTTCTTCCTCAGGAAGCCCAAGAATACCATCTGCTTGCTTACAAATAACTGTGTTTGCATCTATGGCTTTTTCAGCACTGTTATCTACTTCTTCAGGAATTCCTATGTTCGTTTCCACAGGGTGATGTTGATGCTCTTCGGGATTTATAGTTTCAACATGATGTTCTTCAGGCGTTGAAATTTCTGCATTTGCTTCCCTAACAGGAGAGATATGTTCCTCGCTAATGTTAGTTGAGTCTTTAACATCAACGCCTTCCTTTTGTTTGGAAAAAGATGGATGGGTTGAAGATTCATCTTTTTCTGAAGATTCAACATGTAAAATTATTGATTGTAAGCATAAAATTTCTTCCAGAACATTTATTAACGAATGTTACAACTGTTGGATTCAATGTGTTCTTCTGTATGGAGAATTAAGACGATAATTTAAATTGATAAACTAATTGCAAATTGAGGAGAGGTCATCAAGTACGTACCATCAATGGTGGATGTAGAAACAGCAGGCTGGTCTTCTAAACCAAGAGCATTGTCAAAATTCTTCTCGATGTTCTTGACGCTCTCGCTTATCTTGTTAACGGCTCCAGCTAAATCTGGGAAGCTCCCTAACGCGACCTTCCCGCGCAACCAGGCCATATCAAAATCTACAACTTAGATATAGGTATTACGAGTTTCCTCAAAACTACATGGATCAAATGCATCCGGAAACCCTAAAAACTGAACGATAATTCAACAATCATCGACGTTGTATTGTAGATTGAGGAAACTTAAAACATGAAACGAAACTCAATTTAGGCAGATCAACGCGTTTTTGTATTTGATAGACGTATTGAGATTGTGAATAATGAATTAGGGTACATACTTTTTTGATTTCGTCTGTAGATTGACGATGGAACTTTTCGAATGCTAGCTAGTGTGAATTATTTGAAGAATCTCTTTATTGATTTGATGGATTTGCCTACCATTCTGGAAGATGATACTGCCTCCGTCCATAACCATAACCAAATTCCATTAACTTCCTAAAAAATGGATTTTGAGCCAAAAAAAAAAAAAAAAAAAAAAAAAAAAAGAAAAAAAAAAAAAAAAACTATAAAAAAAAGGATTTGAAAAAGTTATTCACAGAAATTCATCACAAATGTGTTAAGATTAAATGTTGGAAAACCAATAAAAAAAATCGAAATATTCTTCCATCACAAAAATTAAATAAATAGGAAACAATTATTCTATTATATATTTTATATCTTATCTTAGACTGTATTATAAAACATATTAATCATATCTTAAATTTTAAGATAATCTTACACTATATTATAAAACATATTAATCATACATTGAATTTTAAGATGCATAAGAAAGAAAGTTTTTGTACAAATCAATTATGTATAAATAAATCATTAATATTTGTTAAAAGTTTGAAAACTTGAATTAAGAAGGTTATTAAGAAATTTAATTTGAAAAAAAAAATGACAATTTTAAAATATTATGTTCATGTATATACAAATTAATTTACATTTCTTAAATTCGATACCAATAATAATTAATTTACATCAAATGTATAAACAGACAATATAAATATAGGGTCTAAACATAAATATTTTATTTAAAAGTGGTAAGTTTTTTATTATATAATAAGTAATAATAAAATTTAATAATTACTTCCCCGCAAGAAAAAATATCCGCCAAAAGAGCTATTTATTGTCGTCGCTTTGTGCGGCCACACATCTAGTAGTATTAATTTACATTAGGCTTATTTGGTTACCGATCATCGGCTTCGGCTAAAGTACCGACTCGTTGTCTCCTTCTTCCTATTAATTTACATTAGGCTTATCCGGTTACCGATCAACGACTTCAGCTAAAGTTCCAACTTGTCGTCTCCTTCTTCCGACCAGAGAATGCCTTCCTCTTATCTCTATCTATTGTAACGTCTGTGTTTCCTGCTAGATTACTCATAGTCTGTAAACACTTTGGTCAACTATTGTAATCCTTTTGTGAAAAACTAAGAAAGGATTATTCATATATTTATCTACTTATGTGTTTTATACGATATTCTATGCTAATTATATAAGTATTTAATAATAAAATAAATTAAATTAAAATACGCATAAAAAATAAAAGATTATTTATGACAAATAATCTAACCTAAGTTGTAGTTTACATAATAAGGATTATGGAGATATAAATAATGTTCGAATCCGACTTAAAAACGAAGTAGTTATGATTTATTGAAGTTTCGTGTTAAAACCGATACAGATTTATGTGTCGTAAAAGTGAAATTTTGATAAACTACTTTTTAGCCTAAGTGGTCTAAACAAAATTTGTAGGTCGTTAAACCGAGAGCGTGAATATAGAGAACGTCAAAATCTGACTTCATATAAGGAAGTTATGATTTTTCTAATATTCAGCGCATAAGTGTGCAACACCGATACCAAAATTTAAAACGATCGGTTGTTAGGAAAAACAATCTAAATGAGAGTTCAAGATCTTGTTCATACCTATCTATCAATATAAAGACAGTCAAGAACATATATCATATGAGAGAGTTATGATTTTTAAACAGACTTTAAAAGTCTAAGCCTATAAAAATATAACTTCAAAAATAAAGTCAAAGTTAGCCAATAGTGTAACGACCCAAAAATAACAACTAAAAATTTCCTTTAAAACATTACTAAAACCATATTTATAAGACCATAACATAAGTCATATCATAAATTCGGAGTATCAATTCAAAAAATGTTCTCATTATCAGAGTAAACATCCGAGCTCTTCCCTCCGCCACCGGAAGTACCTGAAACCAAAACTGCAAATTGTAAGCACGAAGTTTAGTGAGTTCCCCAACCTACCACATACCATACACATAACACATAACTACATACTGCAAATATTGGGCCTCGCCCACTACCTCGGGCCTCGCCCGCTACAATAGGACCCCCTGGCTTCGAGCCCCGCTCAGTGTATAAATCTGTTTCTCTTAGGCCCCGTCTGTCTCTGGGCCCCGCCCGCTAAACGTATATAAACATATAACATATCGCATAACACATAAACCATAACTACTCTACTGCATTCTTGTACTAAGGCCTCGCCTGGCTTGGGCACCACCCTTTGTCCTACTACTAATGAGTTATGGAACCCTATCCATACTCTGCTAATGGTGAGATATGGGACCTCGCCCACACTCACCCTCCCCCCCCCCCCCCCCTCCTTACCAGGCACATACAAGTATCACACATATAACAATTATACTTTATAATGCAAACCATTCCTTGGGTACCCGTCCGATGTTTGACCTTGGTCCTGAATATCATACTAGCAAACAGTGCCTACAGCTAACCCCCGAGTCTTCCTACTCATAACTACATGGGCCGACATTGTGGCCGTAGACCGATTCACACAAAGGGAAACTCACCTACACTGTTGAACTCTGCTAATAACCCTCTGGCTGCTATCTGACAACTCCCCGAACCGCTGCTCCTCCAGCTCCCCGAGCTACCAATACCAATAACAACACTTAGCCTAACTGTCCTCAAGAAGCCAACTAAGTCAACTTTGGTCAAGGTCCTTCTCAAGGTCAAAGTCAACGGTCAGAGTCAACTTCCACTTGACTCGACTCGCCGAGTTGTTCTAACAACTCGTCGAGTCCATGCTCCTCAAATCCCAAAACAACCTCGACTCTACTCGTCGAGTCTAGCAACAACTCGACGGGCTCTCCTTCAACTAAACATTCGGGACCATCTTCAACCGACTCGTCAAGTTATTCTACAACTCGTCGAGTGCATCTTCATAAGCTAAGGAGATTGCCTTGGACTCGCTGAGTTCCTCCTTGAACTCGTCGAGTGCCATGATCTTCATGTCCATTACGGACACAAACTGGATGAGTCCTTCTCTAACCCCACACAATGATCCGACTCATAAACAAAAGGGTTTGGGTTTGCAACCCGACTCGTCGAGTCCATGAACTGACTCGTCGAGTCCATCTTATGACAACTCTATTCTGCCGATTCCAATCCATTCCAACACCTCAAACTCATAGATTTGGACTCCTTATGCTAGCATTACACATAAAGTTACTAACTTTACGTGCATGCAAGGTGTTATGAAGCCAAAACTCTTAATCCAAGCTAGAAGGAAGGTCTAGGTCATGAAATGGGATCTTAGCTGGATAAAGCCAACCACTTTGAGCTTCTAAAGCTCAAGAGTATCCAGATCTGTTGTCCAAATCCATCCTTAAGGGTTAAATACTCGGCTTAACCTTGGAAATGATCCAAATGTGACATAAAGGCAAGCTTGAAAGGGGATATATGAATTAAAAGCTCAAGGTCCAGACTTTTTACCTCCTAACAGTTTCCAAGTCGATATGGAGGCTGGATCTACTCTTCCTTCCTTGCTCCTTTCTTCCAAGCCTTCAAAATCCACTCCAATGGACCTTAATCTTCACCAAAAGCTCAAGAATGAAGTTGGGTGGCTAGTGTTTTGGGGTTCTGGACAAGAGAGGTTGTAATAAACCCTAAGGAAGAGAATAAGATGCTTAAATAGGGTACAAAGTCCCGGAATTAGGGCTTTCCAAACCCAGACTAGACTCACTGAATCCACTCGCCGACTCACCAAGTCGGCCACTTATTCTGCGACACATAGCCCGCTCTGACTCGTCGAGTTCTTCACTAGACTCGACGAGTTGACCCCCTTTTTGACTTAGGGTTTCCTTTTCTTTCTTGGTCTTTCTGATTTTGGGTGTTACAACTCTCCCCCACTTAAACTAGATTTCTTCCTCGAAGTCCGCTACGGCCAACTATCCTGCAATCCGCTCGCATCACCCTTGCCTGATGAATACAACTCCGGCCGACCACTTCCATTGACCTTCCGCCCGGTCACTCAGAATACAGCTAGTTGTAACAACCCAATTTTACAATGAAATTTTTTTCATTTAATTTAAATACTGTAACGTCATGAATTCCATAACACATATGTTTAGTTAAAAACATCGTCTTTTACATTATATATAAAATATCAGAGTGGGTCCCCAACATATCGGGGAATAAAGATATAGATAGATAGAGTGCATGTCGTGCCATTAAGCCTTGCCCTTGCCTTTCGGCTCCGATGTACCTGAAACAAATCAACAACATGTAAGCGAAATGCTTAGTGAGTTCCCCAAAGCATACCACACCACACATACGTAGACATAAGTACAAGTCATATAGGCCACGTATACAAAGAATCAGCAAGAATGCCATGGGCTACCCCACATGGTCTTTACTTGGACTGCAATGGGCTACCCTACATGGTCTTACACCCAAGGCCATGGGCTACCCCACATGGTCTTACACCCAAGGCCATGGGCTACCCCACATGGTCTTTACTTGGACTGTCATGGGCTACCCCACATGGTCTTACACCCAAGGCCACGGGATCCCCCCGGGTTCTTCATGCAAAACATATGATCATAATACATATCAAGACACAAAGTAATCACATATATCATAACCACATAATGGGTTGTCCTTGGTGCCGTAGATCCATGGGTATGGTGAGAAGACTCACCTTCATCCGAAGAATACGAATATTGCACTCTCAAAGACCCGCAACCTCCCAAACTGGATAATAACAATAATAATAATATCATCAATGATTGGTCCATAAATTATCCCAAGGGAAGGCCCAACCTTTAAACCCTAACCCCAAAGGCCCAAACACCCTTGCATTGCAAATGGGCCCAAGATCTAAATCCAATGTCCTTAATGGGCCCCCCTTTGGCCTAAAAGGCCCACTTAATATGTCCATGATCCAATTGATAAAAGGATTTACCCTCAGAATCCAAACAGGCTCAAAACCCATAAGAGGCCCAAGAGTTTGACAGCCCAAAATAAGATCGACCCAACGTAAGTCTCAGTTAAGCACTTTCTCCATTAAGTGCTTATTACTTCATTCTTTTACGACCAAAACCTAGATTTGAGTCCATTAATATCTCCTAGGGCATAAGGTTGCTTACTTTATGCCTTTGC